CTCTCTCTCGCTCTCTCGTCGAACCGGACGTCTCTCTCTCTCTCTCTCTCTCTCTCTCTCTCTCTCTCTCTCTCTCTCTCTCTCTCTCCCCGTCCCGTCGAACCGAGCGCAGCAAGCACCACAGCGACCACAAAGCGCTGAAGCAGCACACGAATGCAAAAGCCGGACTGGCGACAACCGTTAAGATTATCGAGCGGCTCCGGGCTGGACGACCCGATAGAAGTTTCGGGAATCATCTGGCGCGGATCCCCGAAAGCTCTATCGGGCCGTCCAACCCGGGGTGAGCCGGACCTCATGTGGTGTCTGTCGGCCCGCCTAACCGTCTCACCGCGTTTCCCAACAGAGGAAAGCGGGATCTCACGGGAGCCTTACGCGAGACCCGCTAACAAAAATATTTGAGGCCCAGCCGATGCTGCGGTTTGATGGGAAATTTGAATCGTGGTCAGAGGGGCAGGACAGGGCAAGTGGGCCGTCGGAGCGGCGCGACGCAAAAAAAATGGAAATTACAGGGGCGCGAGACAACTCGTTCCTTTTTTCTTTGGGTCCCAGTATTTTCCGCGCGTTGATTGTTGAGGGATTCCCGGCATAAAAGAAGCAGAAGCAAAAAAAGGAAAAAGTTTTGAGGCAGGACAGGGTGGGTCCTGTAGCAAAGACGGCAACGCGCGCAGGTCGGTTGCAGCCCCCCGCATGTTCGCGCAGGTCGGGCGCAGCCCCCCGCATGTTCTCTGTTGAAGGTCAGAGGTTCAAATCCTCCTGCAGAGATGCTGAATTCTTGGTCAACACCGATACGGCTCATAATGGAAGTAAAAAGACCTGAACGGCCATCCGTCAGATTACTAGACAGAAGATTGAGTTGCGTTGCGTTGGGCTGAAAACCCGGGCAGTAACGGCCGTGTGGTCAGTCGGCGAAATACTTGGTGCCGGTGGGGCCTAGGGTTTTTATGCTTGGTGCAGACGAGCAAGCACCTCACAGCCTTCTGTGGACCACTGCCGCCGTAACACGTGGTAGGCGGGAGTAGTCTGGACCAAAGTGCGGGGAAGCTGCTTCGGAAGAGGAGGGGAGGGGGGGAGAGGGGGAGGTGTGGAAGTAGGGGTGGAGCTAGGGGTGGGGGAAGGCTTGGGGAGAGGCTCGGGTACCCTGTCATCTTTGCCTGAGGACGCGCTATCTTCTCTGTATGTTGAAGGAAAAGCTGGCAGCGGCGGGCGGAGACTCGGGGTTGGCGTGTAGAAAGGTGTGCTAACCTAGTTTATTCCAGCGGTGGGAGAAAGAACCTGAAGAACATCAGCATGTCGTCAGGTCTGGGGCTGAAACCGCGAATGCGGCTGTGTTTAAAAGTGTTGCAGATGTTTATGAAGGAGGAGGATCCGCGAGTTTTTTTCAACGAAGTTATAGCTGAGGAGGAATACACTCGGATAGTGAAAAAGCCTATGGACTTAGGCACAATCAAGAGGAAACTACAGAATGGAGAGTATCAAACACCAAGCACAGTGCTGGCAGATGTGGAACTGATATGGCGCAACTGTAGGCGGGCATATCAGAGGGACTCAGAAATACGACATGCATGCAAACGGGCCTCAGCTCGCTTCGAGGAGATGTGGAAGGAGCATGGACTTTACTCCCCAGAAGTGATGTCGCCCGTGAGCATTCCTCTACAGCACTCCCACCCTGTTGGACGAACAGGTGATACTGAAGGAGCAGAGAAACGCGTTCCAGCGCAAACTGTCTTAAGGAGAGGTGATACTGACGGATCAGCAGAGAAGCAAGCTCAGCAAACACGATATGGGGCCATGGCTGCACCCAATGACCTTGAAGTTCGGCGAGATATGACGGAGTTTGAAATGGGCGGCCCGATAATTATTCCGATGAGCACGAAAAGGAAACGGGGGGCTCGGATCCCTCGCCGGTCAGGCGAGGAAAAAAGTGGCCGGGAAGACGAGTCAGGAATAGGTGCGGGAGAGGGCCTGAGGACTGTGAATCAGGAGGTTCGGGGGCAAGCTGCTGTAGGGGCAATTCAAAGGGAGCAACCGCCTGGGCCTGGGGTGAGGACGGGGACGGGCAATGCCTTCTTCCCCTTGACCTTCTCGGAGAGGCACGTGGATACATTACCGAAGAACGAAGTGGTGAGGCCGAGGTCGTTAAAGATATTGGGGTTATCGCAGAAAGGGCTTGGAGGGGAGCAGATGGATGAAGAGAGGAGGAGGAACAGGGAGGGCGAAAGAACGAAGGACAGAGAGAAGGAAAAAGGAAGAGAACGGGAAAGAGAAAGGGAGAGGGAGAGGGAGAGGGAGAGGTCGTTAAAGAATGTGGGGGGATTTGCGGAGGAAGGGCTTGGAGGCGAGCAGATGGATGATGAGAGGAGGCGAAACCGGGAGAGGGAAAGGACAAGGGACAGAGACAAGGAGAAAGGAAGAGAGCGGGAACGAGAAAGGGAGAGGGAGAGGGAGAGGGAGGAGAGGGAGAGAGAGGGAGAGAAGGAAGTAGAGAGAGAAAGGCAGAGAGAGTGGGAGCGAGAGAGGTCGTTAAAGAATGTGGGAGTTTCGCAGAGAGGGCTTGGAGGCGAGCAGGTAGATGATGAGAGGAGGCGCAACCGAGATAGGGAAAGAACGAAGGACAGAGACAAGGGAAAAGGAAGAGAACGGGAAAGAGAAAGGGAGAGAGAAAAGGAAAAGGAGAGGGAGAGAGAGAGGGAGAAAGAACTAGAGAGAGAAAGGCAGAGAGAGTGGGAGAGAGAACAACAGCGGGAGCGGGAACTGGAGGCCGAGAGAGAGAGGGAGCGCGAGAAGGAGCAGGAACGGGAGAAGGAAAGAGAGCGGGAGAGAGAACGAGAGCGAGAGAGAGAACGTGAGCGGGAGAGAGAACGAGAGCGAGCGAGGGAACGGGAGCGGCAGAAGGAACTGGAGCGGGAGCGGGAGCGGGAGCTAAAGAGGGAATTAGAACGGGAGCGTGAAAGAGAGCTTGAGAGGGAGCGAGAGCAAAGAGAGAAGGAGAGAGTGGAAAGGGAGAGAGAGAGGGAAAGGGAGAGAGAGAGGGAAAGGGAGAGAGAGAGGGAACGAGAGAGAGAAAGGGAAAGGGAGAGGGAGAGGGAGAGGGAGAGAGAGAGAGAAAGGAGAGAGAGGGAGAGAAGAGAGCGGGCGGAGAGGGAGCAGATGGAGATGGAACAGCAGAGTGAACGAGGGAAAGAAGATTCTGGAGGAGTGAAGGGGCGAGGAGGAAGTCTTGGCGATGTCTTTGGCGGAGAATTGGGATCGGGATCGAAGATGAGCAGGGATGAGAGGGAAAGGAAAGGTCTTGCAGATGTTAAGGAAGAGGAAGTAGGTGTGCGGAAGAAGCGAACGCGGACGATGCCGTCCAAGTTCCAGGAGACCGTTCCTTCGTCTATTCTCCCGTTGCTGAACCGGCGTGGGGGGGGGGTAGGCAATCTGACGGGCATTGAGGGGGCCATTCTTGGGGGCGCTTTCACGGCCATGAAGGGAAGGGATGGTCAGATGGGTACGGCAGGGGATGGCAGGAGGGGAGGTAGTGGAGGAGGAGGTGAGTTTACGAAATTTGGCATGAGTGGCCATCTCAGGAACCAAATCGGCTTATCCTACCCAAAGAGTGCAAAAGGTGGAAGTGGGGAGCTGTTTGGTAAGGGCGCCAAGATGATTTCTCGCCTGGATGACGGGAGGCGAGATGACTTGAAGAAGTGTTTACAGGTGTGTAGGAAGGTCCTAAGAATCCCAGAGGCAGAGCCGTTTGCAGACCCAGTTAATCCTGAACTGCTAGGCATACCGGACTACTTCGATGTGATTGAGAGCCCAATGGATTTGGGGACCATCAAGAAGCGCCTGGAGAAAGGCGAGGTATATACATCAGCTCTTGATGTAATCAGAGATGTCGAGCTTGTTTGGCATAACTGTAGACTATACAATAACGCAGGAGATCCCATTTTGACCCACCTGCGAATCACACAGGCAGCTTTCAATCGGTTATGGAGAGAGGTAGGGCTCCCAAGTCGAGAGGAGCTGATTCGAGAAGAAATGGAGGAGGGAGAAGGAGGTGAGGAAGAAGAAGGAAATGGTGAAGAAGAGGAGGAAGAAGAGGAAGATGAGATCGTTGAGGAGTTTATGGAGGAGATTGATGATCAGGAGGAAGAGGAGGATGGCTTGACAGGCGGAACGAAGGTGCAGCCATTGGAGTTCCTAGGTCTTGGAAGAAGGGCACTAGGGTTTGGCAATGGTGATGAAGAGGGAAATGAAGAGGAAGAAGAGGAAGAGGAGGAAGAGGAGGAGCTGGTCGAAGAACTAGAGGAGTTGGAGATGACTGAGGAAGAGGATGGAGAAGATTATTCGATGTTGCATTTGCATGGTAGTTTAGGTGGCAGGGAGGTAGAAGAGCAGGAGGAAGGAGCAGAGGAAGACGCATACGAGGGAGCAATGCTGGGAGGTTATTTGGCCGAGGATGTACGGGCAAAGAAACGCAAACGGGAGTTGGAACGCCAAGATGAAGACGATGAGCTGTCTAGAGACGGAAGCAGGAGGAGGAGAAAGAAGAACGCCGTTCAGTTTGTCCTACAAAGGAGCGCGTATGGGCGAGTGAGTCCACTGAGATCCGGCCGAAGTGATGATAAGGTGATCGGGAATAGCAAAGGTGAGGAGGAGGAGCTCGAAGAGGGTGAGATTGGGCAAACCTCACCAAGCGATCTGGAGGAGGAGGAAGTGGAGGGAGATGCTGAGGAAGATGAAAGGCCATTATTTCAGGAAACAGAGGAGAAGGGACCTCCTGAAGGGGAGGGTGAGGCAGAGGAATTGCCAGGAGGAGATACCAGTGAGGCGGTGGGAGGCGCGACTGCAGAGTCGCTGTTGGAGAGTACAGCACAGAAGAAGCGCAGAGTGCCAGAAAAGGGATCGGGACAGATGCAGTCGGAAGGTCGTGCGCCGAGGGCCGTGGGCACCCTTCACCACAAGGTGGACTGCCCATGCGTGGTGTGCGTGGGCCAGCGTCGCAAGCAGCTGCAGCAGGGAATGAACATAACGAAGAGGGAGAGGGACCGGCTGCGAAGGGAAAGGATCAAGAAGGAGAAACAACTGCAGTCAGCAGGGGAAAAGAGATCCTCAGCTTTTCATGTCCAACAGAAGGGCATTGGCCTCCCAACATCTTCATTCGTTGATGGTGCTGTCGATTTGAACGACGATGGAGAGGACATTGAAATCGCGATCGACCACAAGTTAGACAATCTGGACGAGCATGGTTTAGCGAAGTGCTTTCCAACAATGTATGCTGTACCTCCTCCATATATCCACCCGCAGTTATTGAGACTGGGAGCCATGCTGTTCACGAACAGCCCAGGACACTGCCTCATGACTGCTGCAGGCATTGCTGGTGCTGGGACCTCACGTGAGCCCCAGTTTTATGAGGATAGCTGTGGGATATCCAGTAAGGCTGGGGAGAATTTGGCAATTTTGAATGACAGACCACTTCCGAGACTCGTCTCACAGCTCTTGGGGGACTTGCGAGGCGATCAGAAGTCTGGGAACCCCGAAGTATTTCAAAGGGCTGAAGCCTTGGGTAATGCCCAAACCAACAGACTGCAAGCCCCCCCTGCTACAGACAAACGTATGGCCAGCTTGGGCAGTAGCGGAGAGGTTCGACAAAAGGTGGCACCTTCTCATTACATGGCTATGAGAGTGGATGACGATTCTGAGGGGGGCAAGAGGAAGTTGGCAGTCTCTGGCGACGGGGATATGCAGAGGAATGGATCAGACAGTGTGACTGGAACAGGGGGGGGTAGTGGAACAGGTGTGTCAGACAATGCTCCTTCTGGGCAATGCGCTGCCGACGTGGGTGGCGCAAAGTCGATTGAGCATGGCAGTGAAATGGGTCCTGTGGCGGTGATTCAGAGGGTTGGCTCAAAGGGAGGCTCTGGAGGTGCGGAAGTGAGTTCGAAAAGCCAGAAAGGACATGATGGTGAGAGTTTTCCTCCTGTGGGCGTGAGACCTCCAAAGCCGGGGATGGTTTGGTGCCCCTTCTCTGGCTTCTGGAGGTCCACCGGCCGAGTACAGCCAGTGTCGTGACAAATCTGCAGAGCTGTGGGTTTGAAGTCAATGGAAACATGGCTGCTCGTGGAAGGGTGGACAGGAGATTACCCCCGCCGTTTTTTTTTTTCTTTTTTTTTTCTTTTTCGTGATTCCTTTGAGAGAGGAATGATTAAGAGAAGATTGTATAGCATGGGGCCCTGAGCAATCACACACTGCTGGGAAGGCTGAGTGAAACGGATGGTCCCATGGGTCCCTTTCCATACGTTGCGTTATGGTAATATGGGCCCCTGTGAACGGATGGTCCCATGGTCTAATAAGGGAAGATTATAGCATGGGCTCCTTTCCGTATGTTGTGTTATGATATGTGTGCGTGCGTGTCTTCCCTGATATGTAGCACTCTGCTATTCGTTAATGGAAAACCTATGGCATTGTTGTATTAGAACAAAGTTGGAACAGCACACAAACGCTGGAAACAAAGAAGGATGTATGAAAGACTGACAAACATTTGAGAACTGGAAAAAAAAGAAAAAAATGTCTACAGCTCTTCTTGCTGCAAACTGCAAGAAAAAGGAAAAAGAAAAAAGAAAAAAGAAAAAAGAAGAAGAAAAAAAAGATTGTCTACATCGAAGACTGACAATTTTATCTGACGTCTGCTCAGAAAACCTGGGAAGGCCAAATGAAGGGGTGATGGCGAATGTAGTACAGAGTCTACTACAGACCGATAACGTCTCTACAAGGCGGTTCTTCAAGGGCTGAACCGCAGTGCAGACATCCCGAAACTTCAGACCAGCTCATATTTCTTCAGTCCCCTGCCCTCCTTGGTCTGCATTTACAGCGGAATTACCATAATTTGCATGTTGGGGGTTCAAATCCCTGGTGATCCCTGGTGATACAACGTGCAAATAGATGATCCCAGAGGTCAGGAGGGTGGGTTAGCAAGGGCTGGACCGCAGTGCACACATCCAGAAACTTCAGACCAGCTCGTATTTCTTCAGTCCCCTTCCCTCCCTGGTCTGCCTTTACAGCGGAATTACCACAATTTGCATGTCGGGGGTTCGAATCCCTGGTGATACAGCTTGCAATAGATGATTCCAGAGCTCAGGAGGGTGGGTTAGCTACCATCTTCACCCGAATAGAACGCCCAGTAATTATTGCCGTATCTGGGCTGAAAGTTGTGCCAAATACAGCTATTATGACCGGGCGTTATATTCAGGTGAAGATGGTAGGGTCTGATAACGTCTCTCCAAGGCCTTTCTTCAAGGGCTGGACCGCGGTGCACACATCCAGAAACTTCAGCGCAGCTCATATTTCTTCAGTCCCCTTCCCTCCCTTGTCTGCCTTTACAGCGGAGTTATTATACTTTGCATGTCGGGGGTTCGAATCCCTGGTGATCGCTGTGATCAGGAGGGTGAGTTAGCTAGGGAACAGTTTACCTGCCAATGCGGTCGGGGTTGAAGAGGCTCCTACCGCCCCCTGTTCTCTCTGTGAATTGTGCAGCTGGCAGCAAAATCCCTGACTTTTTGGCTGTTAATTAATGCTGCCGGCAGTATGAAAATCGCACGATCTAACTGGCAGTTAAAGCACCAGTGGTTTTGAACCCGGAGGGCATGTATTTAGAATTTGGATGATGTACCGGCCTGCCTGTGCCAGGTCCAATACATGATAGAAGGACTATCAGAGGGCCTCGGAAGGGTCCAAACTACTGGCCGTCTAATCTCGCCTCTCATCTCTGTGGGCAATCATTGCTGTCAGTCCAAGTTTCAACATTCTGGTATTGGTTTATGTAAAAGTTTTTTTCTTTTTTTTTAATATGGCCCGATGGACCACGGATCAGATATTAAACTGATCAAAACAGATACTACACTTGATCTTAGCCAACAGGTCGGGAACGGTATTGGTATTCGTGTATTTTCTAGTGGGACGGTGGACCCATTTTCCAGCATGTATTGCTCCCAGCGAATAATAGGTTGTTTAAGAATCGATAGTCGTCTTGCCATATATATATACACTCCGATTTCCAGTGTGACAATATATATATATTATAGTAATATAGTAATATAGTAATATATATATAGTCAAACCGAGCTGCCCGGTAAACCGTAGGCAGAGAGGGAGAAGAGGACAACAAACGAGGGGCTGTGACAAACTGTTCCGTCGGAGTTTCACCGACTCATCAACAGGCTGAACCCTGAGGAACAGTCAGCAGAATCCACTAACTGATGGGGACACTGTAAGCGATAATCCACCTTAACCCCGGTTGTGGTTAAGCATCAACGACAGCCCGACAACTGATACCCTGAGGTGGGCACCAACCACTGCCTTCATGGTACCTGTGATGAAAATCAAAGCAGACTATCACTTGCCCACACCAGATGGATATGCAATTGTTGTTTGTATGGTGTAGTCAAATAGTTGAAAAACAAAAACACAATTCTAAGCTAAGACATTGATGCCATTGGTCGGTCGCGTTATCTCAGTGGAGTATAGCCAAGTGGAAAGGCATCGGTTTTCGATACCGACATGCAAAGGTTCAAATCCAGAGGTTTACTGTACATCAGGAGAGGCTCGCTGTAATTCTCTCGTGGACAACCAGTTATTGATGCTCTTTTCTTCTTTATTATTAATAAATTTAATAAAAAGGAAAAAGAAAACCATGCTAGTGAAGCGAAGTGAAACCATGGAAACGGCTCCACATATTTTCACACAAAAGTTCAGAAAAGTCCATTTTTTTGACATAATAAAAGGGTTTTCCTGGGCATTCATTAACATGTAGTACCTTCATTGAAGCTGCGAACGATAAATATGGCAGCTGCACATGAATACCATGCAGAAACGTATAGGGCCTCACTCCACTGCTCACCACAAGCACAAAGACAAAAAATATGGCGGTGTATCTTTYTATGTTTTWGAGGACCAATTCATTCTCATTTTGCATATTTGGTGGGTAGGGTAGCGAGAAGCCCATTGAATGGGGGATGTGGAACAAGGTGCATCAGCTTTTTCTCACTTGTTTGGTTTTGTGCCACTTTTCCCAACCCCCGCTTCGACCAATCTCAACACGAACACACTTTATTGGGTGATCTCCTGTACCTTGCGCTTGATTGTCTGCTTATTGTGCTGGGGGTAAGATGCAAATGCAACACATGTTGGTGATGTCCTCCAATGAGCAAAATGCATTGATCATCATGGCGATGGGGCTAACAAACTTGGTGTTCTTGTCCGAATTCGACGGAAGCGTCGGAAGGAGCTTTTTTTTTTTTTTTTTTTTTTTTTTTTTTTAATAACGGTAGTTAAAAAAAAGAAAAGAAAAGAAAAACGGAAGAAGCTGTCGCCCTGTTGCCCGGATATGGATGGTTTGCAGCGGTCATGGCACAATCATCATTGGTGTGGTTGTGATGTTCATGTGGGACAACAAATGTGGTATTGATGTTGCTCGATGCTTTTGCCACATGTGGTGCTGATGTTTACCCCCCAGCGAACACAACGCATGGGTGCTGATGGATGTTTATTGTGCCACGTGCCGCCCACTGCTGTTCACCACGCCGGTTGGGTGAAACAATTGCTCCACGTGTTAATGTGCTACATGCAACGATATGGGTGTGGTTATGTTCATATGATTACAACAACTGTTCAAAAATGATGGTTGTGATCGCAACACGACAAAAAGCTAGCATCCAAGTTTGAAAACGAACAAAGGGAAAGGTGTTTGCAAGTGGGAGTGAACGAGTTCTTGCTGAAACCAGTGTCAATGGCGAAGTTGGTGGAACTACTCAAGGCATGCCAATCGTCAGACAGAATCGTGCCAGGTTCGTCTGGGGGATCGATAACAGAACAAAGCAGTGCAGTGGTGCCCAAGAGGAGCAGATCACGGAAACAGTCATCGAGTGTGACCTCAGCACAAAGCAGCAAGGAGCTCGATGGAGCGGACTCCATCACTCATCTAACGTTGACACTGAAGGTCATGATAGGAATGGGCAAGGTAAAGCTAATTATGCCGAAACCACTCACAACCTGTTCTCGTTAGCAAAAAGAAATAAAAACAAAAAATAAAAGAAATCCTGTCTTCCTTAACCACAACCTATGGGATAAGACTATCCACACTTTTAATCCTGTTTGCATTATTGGTTTATGCACAGATTACGTGAAATGAAATGATTCCTTCTACGCGTCTTCGCTCTACAGTGCGTAAAGCACCTTTTCCATCAATAGGTGGGTACTCTCAACACGTCAACAAGACCCAGCATAGATCTCCCAGCAGGAGTGGTGCTCGTAGTGCGATGTGCGTGTGACGCGCACGCCAGTAGCAGGCTAGCTCATGCGCATGAAACAAATCCTTCGGCTCGGATGATACCCTGAAGCCTCGTTTGTTGAAGTTATAAAACTTGAAACGATTTCTTTTACCAACGGATGGGCCTAGCTCAGTTGGTACATCCCTGCACTGTTGAAATACACATACCTGATTTCGGATCCAGTTGGATCAGACGAGTGACCTTCCTGGGGTCGGTCAAGTCCGACTTTGATATCTCAAGTCCATTGTCCTTTCACAGGAAAAAAGGAAAAGAAGGAAAAGAAAAGTGAAATTTCTGAATGTAATCGTAGAAATAAGGGGTAGTTTTGGGTGGCTGCACCGATGTTTGCCGCACCACACAGCATGCCGCACAGCACACAGCGCACTGTGCAGGGATAAGTAAGATGCAAGAACAGATGCGTGACCTTAACTTTGTTTTTTGTTTAGTTTTTTTCTTAATGAAAAAGACCAGTCTCAGTTCACGAGGTTCTTATTATCAAACTTGGAATACAAGAGAGAAGTAGCAGGGCCATTGCCCTGCCTCAGCTAAAAGATCAGCTGACGCCGAAATCCAGTAGACCTATCATCTTTCTTGCTGGAAGAACCTAAGCAGGTCCCTTTTTTTCAGCTTAGCTAACACGAGAGTGGTAAAGGAAGACCTGTACATCCTTATCCACAAGGGACAGAGTACATTCCTCACAAGTCTTCCTTCTAATGAACAAATACAGCCCGCCATGAGGCAAGAGATAGTTTGATCACTGACACCACTACCAAAACTGACAAGTCGTACCATGGTCAGATGATGCAATAATAAAGACCTATCCCTAATGCTGATGGACCAGAAGATTGGAATCTGAGTACTGCCCACCTAAACCGAACTTCTTTTATTTCCAAGATCCGCAGAGAAACTCTGTGTCACGTATCTCCGGACTTCTCCGCGGTCTTGCCAAAAGAAACAACCACATAGCAGACTCGAAGCGCAAATGCATAGCTAGATTGTCATGTATACTTCGCCACCGGAGAGCCAGCGATGCCTCCAATTGCAATGTAGAAACCCCATCCCTATAACCACTGAAACAGAAGAATGAAAACTGAGTTGTGTCTAACCGTACCCCAGAGCAAGGGGACCACCAAAAGAACCATCAAACTTAATTGGCCAGTCTGGATGCGTAAACTCAGGGGGTCAGAAGTACTTGGAACTGGGCTGAGAAGCCCTGGTGAGGCGCCCATTAGCAGTGCGAAGAGACACCTGTTGCATTCTCAGAATGTCATCCCAATTTCCCCACTAGCCGAAGCCGGGTAATGGCCCGGGCCCTCAGTCAAACTCAAAGATCTGGCTTTATTGTAACTCTGGGACTCTGGGCCCGATTCCCAGCAGGTGAGCCCCCCCAGAAACCCCACCAATAGACTTGGGGCAACCAGTGGCAGGTGTACTAGGGGGAGGGTTCTCATACCACCTCCGCTAGTAGCCCGAGACCGTTTTTTTTTTTTTTTTTTTTTTTTTTTTTTTTTTTTTTTTTTTTTTTTTTTTTTTTTTTTTTTTTTTTTTGAAGACTCCCCATGCGTACAGCTGCTGGACTAGAAAGATTCTCATCCGAACACCTCCCACTCCTTCCTCCCATCACACCACGCAAAAGTGCTAACAATTGGACAGACAAGCCATCCTAAATGAAAAAAACAACTATCCACCCTTGAACGACCCCTTCGATTGAGGCAAGAGTTGATGCAACAAATAGACCCCATCCTTACAGCTGCTGGCCCTGTAAAAACTCCCTCCCCTCCCCCCAACATGCGCCAGTTTTTTCAACTCGATTCAATTATGGCTTGGCTGAAATCAAACCACAGTCGAATAATCCATTGCAAGTTGTCAGTTTGAGAAGAAATAGAATGGGCACGAAGAATAAATAGCAACCAGAGGGAACACGAGTCCATCAGAGGAGACCCACGCAGAACATAGGGGGATGGCAGCCTTGGGGGTGTTCGCATATAGCTTCAGACTGAACACCATAGCTGTCAAGGGGAGCATATAGAATAGAGCACGCCCAACGTCATAGTGTATTCTGGTGACAATGAACCACAGCATGCATGGTAGGGCGAGAAATCAAGCCGGTTCGCAACTGCCAGGCGGCTGTCTAGGTTCAGCCGTCTGTCTGTAATAAGTGATACTACAGCGTGGACAGCTGATCCCCCGGGTGTACCCTGGGCGGCCAGCGCTGTGTAGTGGCGGGCCTTCACCCACAGACCGGAGCCCCCCAAGGGCTTAGGGTTTTAGCAGCCTAATACATGCCCAGTTGGGCGATGTACATAAATAACCGAGGATCCGCAATGTGATAAAAAGGACTGAATGGACAATGTAGTGCAAGTGAAATCTCAACAAGCAGTGTACATCCTGATACATACAAAAATGGTGCTTTATAGCGCAGTGGAAGACTTAGATACAAGTCCTGACCTGACCGGGGCTGACCTCTCTCATGTAGTGCAAGACAGCGCAGCAGAATGCTAGAATACCAATGACTAGTCCAATCAATGTCGCAGTACAGACCAAACATACATCATTCTTATCACAAGGTGTGAAGGGGCCTGGCGCTACACACAGGAAGAATGCGCCAAGTCCAGTCCATGCACAGACGAAGAGGAGGGGAACAGACAAAGAAGAAGGGGGAAGATGGGAATGTCGTCAACACCAAGTCTTCGTTACAAGTCCCAGATAATCCCTCGTCAAATGTTCGAAGCCCAATGTCGGGTCTGGATCCAAATGTCACCAAGCCCGCTCTCTCATAGTCTGCTGATGCAGTGAAGTCAGGTAGCGAGAGGGTGAGAGGGAGATGGTGGACTCAGAAGAGGAAGAAGAAAAACTCTCTCTCTCTCATGTGCCAGGTGCTAACCTGTGAAGATGGTGCCATGCTACAGGTACCTCGAAGGCGAAGCTGGAGCTATGGCATTGCAGGTAAGTCTCCCTGGCCTCCGCCCAATCTCTCTCTCTCTAGTACTACTCTAGCTCCTAATAGGGCCCAGCGCTGAAGACTACTGCTAACGCTACTAGCGCCCAGCGCTGAAGACTACTGCTAGCGCTACTACTACTCCTGCAGCGCTCCTCCAGAGTCCTGCTGCCAAATCCTGAAGACTACGTCCTGCCTCCTGAACTGCACGTGAAGTGCCTGGGAAGTACCTAGGAATTACCTGCAGCCTGCAGGGCGGGCCAGTCCTATGTAGTGCTGGCCCGTCCAGGAGGCTGCTCTTGCCAATGCCAAAACGTGCGAGACCCTGGGGTTGAAGCTCAAACAAAGGTTGTCTTGAAAATAGGCCAAAAATGGCCTGAGTTAAAACCCTGGTCTGGTGCCCACGTTTCACGGCAGGTCGATCTTATGAGGGCCTGAAAATGGCCCTCCGTTTCAGGCTGAAAAGACTCAGGGCCGGGAAGGCCCTGTTTTAGGCTGAAACGACACAGGGCCAGTAGGCCCTTGTTTTCAGGCTTTCAGGCTGAAACAACACAGGGCCTGTAGGCCTTGTTTTCAGGCTTTCGGGCTGAAACGACACGGGGCCTGTAGGCCCTTGTTTTCAGGCTTTCAGGCTGAAAACAACACGGGGCCTGTAGGCCCTTGTTTTCAGGCTTTCAGGCTGAAAACAGCACGGGGCCTGTAGGCCCTCGTTTTCAGGCTTGCAGGCTGAAAACAACACGGGCCTGAAAATGGCCCGTGCAGCCTGTTGCAGGCGCAGCATGTAACACCCCCCCCCCTTATGAAGTCAAGCCGGGTCGAGGGTGAAGCTGACGATCCCCCCTTATGAAGTCAAGCCGGGTCGAGGGTGAGCTGACGATCTGAAGGTGGAACGTGGACGCGGGAGCGACGTGGAGCCGAAGATACTGGGTTGCCTTGCGTCTTGCGTTCGTAGTGTGCGAGAACATCTCGAGCTGTTGCTTGGAGTTCCGCACAGGTCAACCAACGGTCGACTTTGTACATGGCACGGCGGAGCGTCTCCAACACTCGTGGAAGGTGCTCAAGACGATCCTCCAATGTCCGGCTATAGACGAGAATGTCGTCTAGGTAGACCAACACGAACCGGTCCAACATTGCATTTTGAAACTCGTTGGTCATTGCCGCTTGAAAGGTCGCCGGGCACGAACCGGTCCAACATTGCACGAAACTCGTTGGTCATTGCCGCTTGAAAGGTCGCCGGGGTGTTGGTGAGGCCAAAAGGCATGACCACCCACTCAAAATGCTGGTATCTCGTCTTGAACGCGGATTTGTAGCGATCGTTCGGCTGGATCGAAATCTGATGATATCTCGACTTCAAATCCAACTTAGAAAAATACTTCGCGCCACCCAGTCGCTCAAGAAGATCGTCGATACGAGGAAGAGGCCCCGCATTCTTGATGGTTTGCGCGTTGAGCTTGCGGTAGTCGATGCACAATCGTACATCCTTGTTCTTCTTCCGTACGAAGAGAACTGGTGCTCCATATGGGGAGCTACTAGGGCGGATCCAGCCCTTGTCCAACAAGTCATCGAGTTGCGCGCGGAGGACCGTAAGCTCCTCCTCGCTCATGCGATAAATGCAACCTTTCGGTGGCACGACACCGACATCAAGAATGATCTCGTGAGAGATCGGTCGATCCGACACCACACCGGTAGGTGACTCGAAGATGTCGGCGAACTCGTCAAGCAACCGCACCACACGGGGGTCCGAAGACAAGTTCGTGGATGAAGAATCGACTACCGCAACGGTCCGTAGAAAGCATAGGCCTATCTCGTCAGGCTGCTCGTAAGCGCAAGTAGCCCGGAACGACTTGCCCGTCACCACTTGGCACCGAATTGAAGGGTGCGGAAGAGGAATAGTACACGGCACTTCGGCACCGAAGGCGTCCCGAACGGTAAGAGTTCGCCGGTGGAAGCTGATCGTGTGATCCGCACTTGCAAGCCAAGGCATTCCCAAAACAATGTCGAAGTCTGTGTCCAAAATGTCGAATATCACCGGTTTGCATGCATGAGGTGCGAAATACACCGGTACGGCCTCGACGTAGCAGTCGATAAGTTGATGCGTCCTTCCGTTCGCCAACTTGATCGCCGTCGGGCTTGCCTTCCTCCGAACTTGTGCGCCAAGGCCAGCCCTTCGCATAAAGGCGTGGCTCATGGAATTGCGAGACGCGCCTCTATCAAGCAAAGCGCTGCAGGACGCTTGCCCATTTTGGATGCAGACATAGAGGGGCGGTGCGTTGTTGTTATCGTACCGCTGCTTGCGAAACTCGCGGGCCACCTTGGTAACATACGCAAGGATGTCCCCCACCACGACTTCGTCATCCGTCGACGAAGTTGGTGGTGCATAGAAGGATAAATACGTGTGAAGATGAGCGGGTCCTGGTAATCGGCCCATGGTCGGGAGAGGAAGCCATGCGAAATCCTCGGATATGAGCGGGTCCAATACCTTTATGTTGAACTCGCGCGCCAAATCCCGTGAAACACTTGAAGACGATAAGTTACCGCTGCCGGACGGAGAAGATGCCGCACACACGTATTGCCCTTGAGCATGAGTACCCAGCGTAGGAACTAGCCGGGCAACATAGTTTTCATAAGAATATAAAAGAGGAGGACTATCGACTTCCACATGTGCCTCGGAACGAACGGCTGTCACCCGCGAAGCGACCGTTTTTGAAGGCGTTGAGAGTGTTGGCGAGTCACTCCCGGCGATGCCGAGTTTCCCGATTTGCCCTTGCCTTTCGACGGGCAGCCCACTGTGTCGTGGAGATCGCTGTTACACCGCAGACAATAGCGGAATCTCATGCGTGCCTTGTACGCCTGTTCGGAGAGGCCGTAGTGGGCCCATGGGGCTGGAGCTGCTGCGCCGGGCCTAGGGATAGATGCAGTGTTTGTCTTTGTCTTGCCGCGCCCTCAGCCTTTGCCGGGGTGGCCAGCATCCCAGGCGGCTGCGAGTCTGTCCCCTTCATTGGCAGACACGGCCTCACTAGATTGGTTGGTTGGCGTTGCCGCCGCGACCACGACCACTTTCGACCGATGCTGATCTCTGCTCGGGTCTGTCACAGACGAACAGTGGAGGTTCTTGGCCTCCTTGTTCGTGACGATGATCTGCGCGACCTTGTTAAAGAGCTCCGCCGTTGTCGTCAGGGTGTCCTCGACGTGAGTTAAGGTGTTGCCCAACGCCGGACACGACCTCGAGATGAAGTAGTGTTTGACGACCTTGAAGCCCATTTGAATGTCTGGGACAAATGTCAAGCGTTGGTACTCGGCAATCCAGTCAACACTCGACAGCGTGATTTGTTCGAAGGTCATGAGCTTGTCCATTGCCTTGATCTCCGGCGGCTCTACTTGGACCCGCTTATGCCACGCCGCCCTTAGATCATCCCAGCTGATCTTGGTGTACAAGTCGGCAACTACCACCCCTTACTTGGACAAGAGATTGTCCAACCATGCTTGGCACGCGCCCCCCGATCGGGAGTACAAGTATGCGTGATGTTTGTCCTCGCTGACGTGGTGTAGCTGCAATTTGAGCTCGAACTTGCGAAACCACGGATTGGGTCCGTTTTCGTCGAATCGCAGAAGATCTCCTGATCATCGAACCTTGGAGTCGTCCCGCGCGGTGTCGAACTTGGGTTGGCGGCGACAACACAGATCCGCTGCTCCAGTTGTTGCGTGGCGGTTTGCTGTAGCTGTGTGTCGTCCTTGAGGGCTCCGACGTCGATCTCCAATGCATTGAGGCGATCGGAGGTGTTGGAGGAGCTGGCATCGGGGGCGGCGACGGGTTGTTGCTCTAGCTGCTGGAGGCGGCTGTTGACTTGGTCAAACGCCTGATTGTGCGTCTGAACTGCGTCGTCGAGGTTGTGGATGTCCACCTGCTGTGCAATGCACGTGGCCAGGAGGTCCGTGAGATGGGAGAGGAGTAGAGCGATCTTGTTTCACTCTCTTCCATCTTGCCATTCTCGGCCTTGGCCCGCCAGTCCGCTGCCATTGTGAGCAAAGCTCGCTCTCCGTTGAATATCTTCTCGCGTTGTTGAATTCGTTTTTCATCGGCAGCCTTTGCTACTGCCTCGTCTTGCTGGCGCTGCTGTTCGATTGTCAATAATCGTGCCTTCTTGGCGTCCTCCGAGTTCTTCTTTGCTGCGGCTGCTACTGCATCCGACCTTTGCTTGGCTTCGGTAATCAGAAGTAGCATCCGGGCCTGATAGGCCTCATCCATTTCCCCGGACAACTGGTCCATGACGGCCGTTTGCGAGCGCGTGAATATAGACCAGGTTGGGGGCCTGCTGACGTGGCCTGCTGACATGGTCTGCTGACGTGGCAACTCGCCAATGCCGCCGCTAGGGGTACCCGGAGACAGATAGAGAAGATAAGACCAGAGGGGGCAAGAATATAGGTGGGGAGGGATGGGTGGGATAAATCGCCCAGATAAGGAGCCACTAATCAAAAAAAGGAAAGTTCAAACTTTGCAAAAAAATTCGAGGGAAAGAAAAAAATACTCGTTTGCATGTTCAGTAGGCCTCCCAATTCCCCCTGAAGTGCGAAATTACGAATGAGGGAAAAATTTTGAATTTTCAGACTGCGAATGATTATCCGATAAGAGAATTCCGAAAATAAAATGAAAAAATATTCGGCATTACTCAGATGTGCAGTTTGGAAAATGGTAACTGCAAGAGGGATTTCCCGTACTGTTTTCAAAAAAATGAATTTCGGAAAAAACAAATATTTCGGATTTCCAAATAATGGGAAATTTCAAAAGGAAATCGAAATTCTCGAAAAAAAGATATTCCGGATTTCCAACAACGAAATTTCGAAGAGCCGCCGTAGTAGGGGAACTAAAGGGCGGCAGTCACGAATCGATGGCAGAGGGCGCGGCCTCTCCACAACCGGATTTTTGGAAGTGCCTGCCGAAGCTTGAAACTCTGCTGAGAGAACGATATGTTCATGGCAATTTTTGCAACCTTATCGAGGTTGTTTCGGACGTATCGTTCCTAATATACTGCTATGAACTCATCCGTGGTAATCCTGTGAATCCTTCTAAAATGACTCTGGCGAGCCGACAAACGTGAGGGCCGAAGGTGCGTCTTGAAGGCTGCTCTCCGATCGCCGCCGGATCTTCGCAGTGAGCCTTTTTGTCCGCAACCTGCGGCGGTTGCCCTCTCTATCAACGACCCTCTATCGGCAATGCTCTTCAGTCGCATGACATGGTTTGTTCCTATTTTAATTGGAGCGCCTGATATTGCAATAAGACTCGTTCTCAAACACACTTTTCATGCATGTAAACAGCAACGCAGCATACTGGCGACATGCGCCCACTCAAAACTCAGAGATATGGCTTTCAGATACGAGTTCACTCTCAATTGGCTATGGCGACTTCAGCGCCCAAACATCTCACTGTTCACATACACTGGATCACCCTGGATATCCCACACGCATCACACACACACTCACTACTAACTACAGCTATGGCAGCTATGGCTGCCTCTAACCTATCGCTATGCTAACTCCTCCTCTCTTGCCCACTGCGTCCTCCGGGCTCATCTGCAGACCTCCTTGCACAA